GGGAGGGGTGAGAAAAAGTGAGAGAGAGAGCGAGAGAGAGAGAGAGAGAGAGAGAGTGAGAGAAAGCTAGAAAAAGAGAGAGATTGATACAGATAAAGACAGTGAAAGATTGAGAGACTATGTAATGGTTATCCTGCCTTGTTTCATTAGGAAAACCCGAGGCATCTGTTTCCCGTCATCTCAATTTATCTCTACAACACCGTCAATTTCTTTTGTTATTAGCTCTTTCCCATCTCTTCAAGCATTTATTTTTGATCGAACAAACACAGGGCCCAAAACTAAATAAGAAAATACTAGGCTTACATGTTTCTCACCCTTAAGCTTTTTATTTTACATTCATAATATTTTGAGCTCAGCAAGAACGTCAAAGTTTGTGAATCAGACCCTCTGTGTTATAAAATGATCAGACACGTAATTTACTTGATTAACCTGGCTATAATGACGTAAAAACTACGCATAGAATCAGAAGCAGTACCGTGGTTTATCGGTGTTAAAACTTCGGCAAAGAAAAGCCATTATCTAGCCATTATCGTTCCAACTTATACATTCTAGATTCTAGAAATAAGGAGAAGAAGAGCTACGTTAACTGCACAATCAAACAACACAAGCTCAGCTTAATTTCCGGCAACAATTCCTCATATCCGGCTAGAGTAAGAATCGATTAAAGGCTACGCACTAAGCTGACCACTCACGTTCGCATTTTTTAGAGCCGTCTGGTAACTGCTCGGCCGATGACCCTGCCTGTCCTTAGGTCTGGAATGCACCGCGCCGAGCAGCAATTCCAGTTCTCGTTCTGAGACCGCGCCGTCCCTCTCGCCACCTTCAGGGACCGCACCTTGATGCTCTTGATTTCCCAAGTTGTGCGGCTTGTGAAGTCGGTGCTCGTGATGTTTTTTATTCTGAAGCTGAGGCTGGGAGATAGAGCTATTGTCCGTTTCTGAGAAACTGTTTGGCAGTTGTGGATGAAAGCGGTGACGCTGGTGGCTGTGACGGTGGTCCCGGTGGTCACGGCTCGATTTCGCCTCGACCATCACCAGCTGCAGCTCGTGCAACGTGAAATTGACAGCTGCAAAACAGTCTATGTCACGGTGTTCGTCTTTCTTCGTATTTTTGTCTTTTGAAGCAGACGCTTGCAACTTAAGTTTCTCCTCGTGTGTCGGAGGTAGGGAGTAGATTAAATATTTGGAGTAACGTTTTAAGAATTTCTCGGCGAGAATGTCCCTGCAGCCGATAGCCAACTTTGAGGACATTTCTCGCACTGCTCCAGTGGTATATGGAATGACGTATGCGGAAGTGACGACATAGTCGGCTTCTGTGCCCCCTTGCACTGTCCAGGAGGGGCGAAGAAGCTGATGTGTACCACGTGACTGGATAGCGTACAACGGGTGGTGGCACTCAGGGTCAGAGTAACGATATACCACGGACTCAAATGTGCCGTTCTGGAAGCGAAAGTGGCGTATTACGTACTCTGGGCCGGAGCGAATCTCGCATCTGTGGAAAGATCGATAGAATTATTCAATAGGAAGGGAGATCATTGATAATATCATATAATAGCCAACATATTATCTGGTCTGCCTATACAACAAAAGCACAATAACGCTAATTAAATTCATTAGAGCTAAAAGAGGCTGTGGAAGCATGATCTTTGATGTTGAATCCAGACATGGCCGCTGGAGAGAGAAAGACAGACAGAGAGAGAGAGAGAAAAACAAAGAGAGAGAGAGAGAGAGAGAGAGAGAGAGAGAGAGAGAGAGAGAAAGAGAGAGAGAGAAAATGGGGGTGTGTGGGGGGAGAAAGAAAGAGAAAAAGATACAGAGAGTAAGGGAGTGAGAGAGAAAGGGAAAGAGGAGGGATGCATAAGAGGAAAAGATGGGAACGAAGACTGAGATAGCGAGTGAAAGAGAAGGAGAGAATGGGGTAAGTAGGAGCGGATGAGGTGCATGCAAAATACGGCGTACCTCTCCTTTAGAGCAGTGAATTATCAATAGGCCTACATGTACTCTGTGAAACACACTCAGCATCACCCTTTTCCATTTATTATTCCTAGACGTTTCTTTTTCACACACACACACACATACTCTCTCTCCCTCTCTCCCCCTCTCTCTCTCTCTCTCTCTCTCTCTCTCTCTCTCTCTCTCTCTCTCTCTCTCCTTCTCTCGTTTTGTATCTCCCTCCCTCTCTCTCCCCTTCTCTTCCTCTCGTTCTCTTTCCTCCTCCCTCTTCCCCTCCCCCTGCCCCCTTTCGCTCTCTTTTCCTCTCGTCTCTCTTCCGCCCCCCCCCCTCTCCTCTCTCTCTCTCTCTCTCTCTCTCTCTCTCTCTCCCTTACTGTAAGTTTATATCTGTAGATCTCTCTGCCCTCACTTTCAACTTGTGGAGTACGGGAGCAACGAGCACAGGGAACGAAACACAGTTTTACAGTGTTTCTAATGTTAGACTTCAAAAGCAAAACAACTGTGTAAAGAACGCGTAGGATGGCATCTTTACTCCCTCATGTGCACCCATTTGCTATAAAGTCAACACGCTGATTGAACTACCTTGAGCTTGATAATCTTTACAGAGAGCTGGCATTCAGCCAATATCGTACATTTCCCCAAGCTATCAATGCCACACAACCTTTCTTTACATAGTGACTTTCCCTACATTAAGCTCGTCCATGTAACAACATTTCATAGCAATGAAAACTACAATTTCAAAGCCGAAAGAAGAAAGGGGCGCTTAATGCGGCTTCGTGTCGCTCGTGTAGGTCTTATGCTGTCGGCAAACTCCGAGAACCCACGGTAAATATCGCCACGCAAATGTTCTCGATTCTTGGCTGGCTTCAACGAAGGGTAACAAAAGGGTCTCCCCGTTCGAATTGCTTGCTTCCAATCTCAACGATTAGCGAGACAAGACCTGTTCAAACAATGGCAGACGCATTAGTCACTGCTTACGGGAGGATTGACGCATTCTGCAGCACTCTTCGGGTACTCTACGTTGCTTCTGAAGCGATCAAAAAAATGTTTGACGATATATACATTTTTACATAGGGTTTTTATGAGGTATTGCTTTACATTTAGGGGGATCTTCTTATATTGAGATGCCGAGGAGTTGTTGATTGATGGATTAAACACTGTTTTGTTGTTCTGGGTGGATTTTTTTGTTTTGTTTTGTTTAGTTATTGGGTTGGGGTTTTTGGGGTTTTTTTTACAATGATGGTTCTTGCTTATTTGCTAATTCGAACTCTTTTGAGGACTGGGAGAAAGAAAGAAACTGTAGAATCTACAGAGAGTAAAGAAACGTTTTAGTGTGAAGAGGTGAGTGGGCCCATTGATGAAATGCAAGCACCAATGGAGGTCAGTGTACGCAAAAACCTTCACGAAAACTCTGGGAATGAAGAGCAAGAGAAAAAGTAACATCCAGAGGGAGAGAGAAGGTAGGGGAGAGTAGTTATGGGTAAAGGGGGCGGCGGAGGGAAGAAGTCAAGACTGAGAGAGTGAGAGAGAGGAGAGAATAGTGTAAGAGGGGGGAGGCATAGAGAAGGAGACAGAGAACGAGAGAGTGAAAGAAAAAGAGAAAGAGAGAGATTGTGAGAGATAGAGATAGAGACAGAAACAGAACCC